TGGCCTTAATCTCAATAGTGGGGAATATACTTTCTTCTTACATATTGTTAACTAGTGATGGGCAGATGAAGCTTCATGAAGCACTGAAGCTTTTCATCAAATTGGTTCACCCCAGCACAAAGCTTCTTGAAGCTTCATTTGCTCTAGTAGGACATCTACTGGACGTAAAAATATTGGCATGAATTTGAAGAGCGTGGCCTTTTGCACACAGCCTGTAAATGTCAACAACAAAAGGAGTGTGTAAAACATGTATATTGTAGTGATGGCAGTATACTGTGTATATTTATACTGGCAGTATGGAAAATGATTATTTGGAAAGGTTTAAAATGGAAATGATCATTTACTGTGAGGTGTGGTTGGGGTGTGGACAGTGGTTGTGCTTTTGTAACGTTGAGGTATGGACAGCTACACACTGAGGCGTAAGTCCTGCCCATATTTTATTCAGTAAAAACTAAATTTTCACTGCTTTTATGGCCTTTTTAGTGGGGAGAACATAGCTCGGATTTAATGATTTAACAAATCTTTTGAATCCTTTGTCCTCCACAATGCTAAATGGCTAGGAGTCCTCAATCACCATGCTAACCAGGTCTTCATCTATTGAAGATTGTTCTCCTGAGGAAAGACAATAAAGACAAAGCACAAATATAAATATCACACACGTAACTTATAACAGCTGTATAATATTGTTATATCATTTAGTAACATTACTGCATCCTATATTATCATGGCATTTGATGGCTCACCTGGTCTTGCTCCACGATCGGTGTTCCCCTTATTCTCATGCAAAGCTCTGTAGTGCCTAAGCATGGATGAGGTGTTGTTGTTATATCCCAGCTCCCTGGCACATAGCAAACACTTCACCTTGTACAAAAGTAACGACAGCTTAACATAAATTGTATTGCACCATCAGTATTATGAAAATACATCTTCTGTAGAAATTTACATACACCCTAAAAAATTATTCAGGGGCTTAGTAAATATCATTATAATTCTAAGTTAGATGACCTTGATTGAATCTTTGAAAATCACAAACGTGTTATCTTGAGTTGAAAATACTGAAAAGAATGCTTAAATTTTCAACACCAGTTTGAGTTGAACTGAGCTCTTTTGTTCAAGTTTATTTAAAAGAAAAAATTCTGCATTTGAAACACAGGGTGCATTATTTAAATCTACTCAATATATCTCATAGAAAGTACTCAAAATAACTGAGACACTGGTATTCATACTTATCATTGTCTTTAACTTTAATTATTAATGGTTCAAAATCAATATAATTTTGGGGCGACGAGTGTATGCACCCCATGTGAACTCCAGCCATGGCATCTTCTGTGAGTTGGTAAAATATTCATTCACATGCCCATCCAACTCATAGATTGAAGTGATGATCTGCTGAGCCCATATGGTGCCTTTTGAGGAAAAATGTATTGGATATCATATCTGACCAGTGGATCACTCTGGACAGAATAAAACTGCAAAATAATGGGATGCTACAGAGATTTCTCACTGACCTGATTTTGGATAAGACACGAGGAACACATCGCTGTCTCTTATTTCAAAACTCTGAAGAGAGTCTATGTACTCTGCAGTTGTGTAACTGGAGAGAAAGTTATAGTTCTTATACCGGCAGAGACGGTTACTGAGCTGCTCCATCTTAGTTCCGAATCACACAGGCGGATAAGGAGAGACACAGTTTATGTAGTTCTTCACCCCATGTGGCAATAGAGATTGAAAATGTGACGTCATTCAGGGGTAAAACCGCAAACAATACTGGGAACGCAGGCTTTCAATTGAACTCAGTTACACAGTGATAAAAAGAAACACAAAAAATGTCAAGAAGCTGTTGTATTATTAACTGCAATAGCCGGTCGCATGACAGCCACGGGAAGCCGACGGGTAAAGAGATCGGTTGTTATCGGATTACGTCGTTGAAGAGAAATTGTTCGAGCCATGTTTCCGAAGTAACAAAGAGGCGACTGGATTGCAGCCATTCAAAGATAACATCCCAGAACACTGCAGCTCACAGGTTAGTCTGCTCCAAGCATTTCCACAAAGGTCAGTCTGCTGTTGTAGTTAATGCATCATTTTTCTTAACATAATTGGTGATATAGGTTACAAGCAAGTCTGGCGCTGAACAGAAATTGTCGCGCTATGCTCCTTTATTTATTGTGCATAAATAGTGAATTGTCCTGACACAATATTGTGTTTTGCTTCTGTTATTATGGTACATTGACAAAAACACATACTTTTATTCACAGGATAAAACAGGTTTTTTGTATCACTAATTGCCCAGTACAATTACAGCATACAATATTATTGTCACTGCTACATTTCTGTGATGTGTACCAGAAATTATTTCCACTACTAATTAATTACCATTGAGCTCAAAGGTCCTATTAATAAACGTTTAACGAATGTGTATTTATGAAGACGATTTGTGAGACTGGTAAACTTATGATATGTACGATGGTCTTTATTTTCTACACGGTGCATTTCAAGGTCCTGTACCCATCCGTCGGTAAACAGTACCTGGGCTTGTTGCAGTGACCTGAAGTTACTAAACTTCACGAGTGTATGCACTCACTCCAAGAACCGTATAATTATAAATATGAGCGTGGTGAAAGTTGGGCAGCACGCTAACGTATTTTGTCCACTCTGTGTGCTCGTAAGGGTCTAACACTTTCACTGGTTTGATTTTTTTTTTTCCTCGTATCTTTTCTTTGACTTTTCATTAAGTCTGTCTTTGTACGGACCGGCATTGTTCTCCTTCGTTTTGTACATACCTTTTTGGGGGGCAAAGAAAAAGCAAGAATTTATTGGAACCGAAGAATGAAAGTTTTGCGGTGCTGCAAATGCTTGCATTTGATGCAGGTACTTGGATTGTTTTGCCACGAGTTACCGGCATGCAATGCGCGAAAGTCACGTGGTCTGTCAATCTCTCTATACAGTCTCTATACAGTTCATTCTCTTTTGAGCTGCTTTTAAGCATCTTTCTTGTAGTCGTCGTTCCAACACAGTGTGTTTGTGTTGATTCGTAGACCCCGAAAATGGCGCTGCGCTCCCATAATGCATTGCGGCGTGACGTCAACTCCAAAGCCCTATACTAACTTAAAACTTTGAGTAAGACTAATGACCTTTGGCATGTAGCGCGCAAGGAGCATGGCCTCATGGGAGATTTTCTGCACGTTGAACGAGACAGACACACATCCACTGCAGACTTGGTAACGTTTTCAGGTAAGTGACCAATTCTTACATTAGCTGTCTTTATCCACACCATTCTTTTATAACATGTTCTGAAGAAAGCGTTTGTCATGGTGGCTCACTTTTCGCAGCGTGTTTGTGCACGTTAATTTAAGTTTTCAACCAGTCTTCCAGTCAAGGCGGCGGGAAACCGCGCCCTTTTATCCTTTTACGTTCTGAGTCGCTATCTGCGTTCCGGGTAATTTGACCGGAATGTCCCGGTACCAGCGACCTGACCGTTTAATCGGGGGCATTTTAGGAACCACGTGAAAGCAGGTGTGCTCAGACATTTCTAGAAAATGGCCCTGTTGAGTCGCGGTGCGGGAGCTGCGGTAGTCACGCGGCCTGACTCACTCTGTCAGGTTGTTCAGGAGGAGATGAACAGACGTCATCAATGGCTTTGGTAACTAAGAAGACCTGCCCGCGGAACAGTTCATAGCAGCAACCATGCTGCTTAGCTTTCTTGTTCTATGTGGGGTCTTTCAGAGCATATAAGATGCTGCTTTCAGCTTTGTCCCGAACAGGGCCAGTTTTTGAGAGAACGCTGAGAGGACCGCCCGGGTCAGCAGATTACCTCATCCAGGGCCGGTCCAAAGTACTATAGGGCCTTAAGTAAATTTAGACTCGGGGCCCTACTTCCTTTCAGATCCCAGAAAATAATGGAGAAAAAAAAAAAGCTTTGGTCCTTTGGGTCAAGCCAAAAGTACCATCATTTCCAGTATAGTTACTCCCAATTTACATAAATAAATGTTTATTTCAATCCAAGCTAAACTTTCTTATAAGAGATTGATGTTATGGCAGATTACTCAGTGACATGTTTTGTAATGATAAAGTTTTGATTTGTATTTTTTCAGCACCATCTTCACCACCAGGAGAAAAAAAAATCTGCATCAACTACAAAGTAAAGCAGGTAATTTTACTCAGAGGACTTGATGTGTTAAATTTTGGAATGATATGATATTGTTTTATACAAGCTGAGTAGTGGATGGTGATACCACCTAAATATTTATACTGGTTTTGTGGTGGGTCATACAAATGCCAAATCTAAATTTTGAGAATTTTTCAGTTCGGTAAATATATTGATGAGTTCATGGTCTGTCATCTAGTGTCACCATACTATCTTTTATTTATACAGCGTGGTGATGTGATTCAGATTATTTCAATGTCGTTAAGTATTGTACTTTGTTCCATGTTGACTTATTTGTAAGTTGTATCCTCCACCTGAATTGGTAGTGAGTATTGGTTATTCAATCAGTTAATCATACAAAAACTGCGTAAATATGGTTATACACCATTCTGTCATCTTCATACTGTGAGACATATTTTCTCACAATTTTTTTAGGTCACAGGTGATGAGATGGCAGTGTAAACTCTGCAAACATGAGGAGTCATCAAAAGTGTCACTACTCAAACATTATTGAGTGAAACATGAGTACATTTGGTCATGGCTATTCCATACCCTGTCTTCATTTGAATTGTCCTTGCTCTTTTAAGACATGGGGTGCCTTACGCTCACACTTGTCTAGGCCATCACAATTATGGCCAACAGTATCGAACGCTGCACTAAGGTCTAGCAGGACAAGCACAGAGATGAGTCCACTGTCAGAGGCCATAAGAAAATCATTTGTAACCTTCACTAAAGCTGTTTCTGTGTTGTGATGAGCTCTGAAACCTGACTGGAACTCTTCAAATAAGCCGTTTCTCTGCAGATGATCTGCTGTTTGACAACTACTCTTTCAAGGATTTTTGACATGAAAGGAAGGTTGGAGATTGGCCTATAATTAGCTAAGACAGCTGGGTCTAGAGATGGCTTTTTAAGAAAAGGTTTAACTAACTCAAGTACTTCTGATTTGAGGCCTTAATTTTCACAGGAACTACACTATCCAGAGTCATACGTAGTGAGGAGGTAAAATTATTAACAAGATGATATCTTGTTAATAATCAATATCAATATCAAAGGCAGAGGTCATGTCCAACATCAGCAAAACATTACATGCTGCATCATATCTCATCAACATGTCACCGGAGACTCTAAGAAGTGCAGTTTCAGTAGATTGAGCTCCACGAAAGCCAGATTGGAATTTACCCAGAATGCTGTATTCATTTAGAACAGAACATAAGTATATAAATATAGTGTTGGGATTTAAATATATATTCTTAGTGTTTATTTGCTGCTTATATTGTTTTATGTATTAGAGGGCCAACTTTGAGTGTAAACTAGGTCGCAGGCTGACAGGAAACTGCATGCTTTTGCAGAGTATAGGAGGTACAGACAGAAAGTGAAACTAAGCAGAGTGTTTTGATCGAAACTTAGTGTGGGTGTGACGTGCAGTGGAAATATATATGTGTGTGTGTGTGTGTGTGTTCAGGTCTCCATTCACGGGAATGTGAAATAAAGATCTTTTTTTTTTTAACTTTGACCACCCTGGGTCCAGTCTTTCTTTGCCGCCAAAAGAATTAAAAGAACTGAATTTAATAATTAGTGTCTCGACCCAGATTCTTTTGCGGCTGAGAGGACAGATTGGCTTAAGGTGGGATCTGATAGGAGAACAGGAGACCGGTCTAAAACGATTTAAAGGTAAGCACAAGCCTGTTCAAAGAAAACGCAAATTTGTGCACATTGGATGAATTCTAAATTATCTGTTCGCCGAATGGATGGTCCTAACCGTTAATTGGTTCAGGAGTGGTGAAATTAAAGTAAATTATAAAATCTGTTAAGTCCATGGCAATTTTGGGTAATTTGTGATAAATAAAAGTAAAGTCTAGGGAAATTTGATGAAAGCTTATGGTTGTTAATGCTGGGGTGAAGTTTAAAGTTGATGTGACGTGTGTTTGAAGTTGGTGTGTTATGTGTGTGAGTGTGACGTCAGTCAAGAAAAGAGATTAGATTAGGACATTTGGATAATTGATTAGAGATAGCATCAGATAAATAAACTGGCGGTTAGAGTCCACAGTGCTGATGAAAGTATTGTGTGAATTGTGCTACAGAGCTGAGTTAAAGAATGGTGATCTGTGTGGAAAAAACTGTTAATTGTGCTGGGGATTTGTGCCAAAACAGCTCTGCTAACTACGCTGGATTTTGATGTGAATGCTTGCAAATGCAAAGAGCTGACTATACGTGTGTGTGTGTGTGTGTGTGTGTGTGCGTGCTGAGGGTGCATTCTTTTTATATCAACACTTAGCAGAGTTACAGAGGGTATATAGACTGTAAATATAAAATAAGAGTTCGGTTAGGCTGTAGAAACAGATGAAAATCCAGTGAAATGAAGAGTGTGTGTGCGTATGAAAACTGCCGTGTGTGTGTCTGGCAGGAAGTGAAACAGGAAGTGAACATGTTTGCATGCCCATAAAAGGAAATTGACTGATGTGTGTTGTGTGTAACGAGTGAGAGAGACCTGTTAAAAATCTAGATAGAGGAATTAGAGAATGAATGTGTTAAGAAATAGTAATGAAAATGATATTAAATAAATGTTTTAGTGTGTTAATGCAGGTGGACTCTTCTCAACTTGAAAACATGAGTACAGCTGCAAAATGATAGATTAACAGAATTGGGATGAAAACAGGCCAGGCTTTGGCTTAAAAATTTGACAGCTTCACCTCTCATTCTGTCCTTATCCTGAGAAGAAGCTTAAAGGACAGTCAGTCTCCTGATTAAGACAGACAGAGCGACACAGTGTACTTGAAGAATTAACAGCAGGCAACTGACCTAAAATACTGAATGGTCAAGCAGCATGTATGACGATGTTTTGTGTTTTGATGAGCTAATAATCAGCTCTCTTTTTCTCATTTTTGTTCTAAGCAGGCCTGCAAGATTGAATTAACTGCGCTGTAAAAATTTTCGGGAGAACAAATATAAGGTGAGTTTTTCCAGATTATAATGGGCAGAGGAGAAGCCTAACTGTGGGAACCGATGAGTGTTTGAGTTCCCGTCCAAAAGGATTGCAGCAAGTCAATCCAGTTAAAACATAATAAAGAACTCTTTTTCTAAAAACAAAACAAAATAAAACAAATGAATGAGCTCATGTTGTTGAGGGTGGAGAATCTGATTATTCAACAGAAAGTTAGTGTTTTAGGAAATCTTTCACTTTGAAAATCAAAGTGAAGTAATGTCTGTTAATGATAACAGAATAGCAGTGATTTAAAGGTTCAAAAGGGCATGAGTATGAGTGCCAAAGATTACAAGTTGTTTAGTCATCAACAGTCTCTGTTTGCTTTGAAAAGACACAAGCACAGGTGGTCCTGCGACATGTTTGTGTCCAGAACTTTTTGCCATGGTTGCACTGGTGCGCCTAACTCTTTTTTTCTTAGTCGCACCAGCACAAAATTTAGGTGCATCCAAATTTTCAACCGCAACGCTTAACACCGTAGTTTTACATGTGCACTTTTTTTGGGGAGAAATTGCTGTCTATACAGAGAATATTGAATTGTAAACAATTAAATAACAATCTTGTCAACACAAAGTTCTTTATTCGGAGCACATTTCTACAAAAAAGATAAGTTACTGAAAAGGTGCTTGTGCTGAAAGTGCTTTGGCACTCTTTGGCTATATTGTAGACAATGTTAAACTTAATCATCACATCGGCCTCCTCTGATGACTTGTTTGCTGCTGCGTGGCCACTGAAAGGCAGTGGGGAGAGGAGACACTTGGGCAGTGCATTTATTGCAGCATATAATGTGTTTTCTGGATACACTGCTACTTTTTCAGCATTCAGAGATTGATTGCTCCGTGTCAGAGCACTGGCTATGAATTTCAGACAGATCAGGCCTTAACAAAAAATGTATCAACAGTTCTTTTCAGTTTCTTTTCTTTTTACCCACAGCTACATCCACTTCTGTCGGGCCTCACTAGGGCTGGGTATCATCACTGATTTCTAGAATCCATTCGATTCCAATTTACGAGGTCCCGATTCAATTTTGCCTCAGACAGTCAGAAATATATTTCTGATCATTTATCAGTACTGATACTGTGAGACTTCAGAGGTGTAGCATCATAGCAGATGCCTTTGTGTCAAAGTAACTGAGAATAAAACACAGAAAAACATGAAGGAGATTTTCCTGGCCTGGCTTTTTATAGCAGATAAACTTAAAAATGTTCTGCAATTTTGCATAATTTTAAAAACTTTAAATTAGGCTTTCTTGTCCAAGGTCCATCCAACCATTCTTCTGCTTTATCCGGGGTTGGGTCATGGGGGCAGCAGCCTAAGCAGAGAAGCCCAGACCTCCCCCTCCCCATCCACCTCCTCCAGCTTGTCCGGGGGAACACCAAGGCGTTCCCGGGCCAGCCAAGAGATATAATCTCTCCAGCGTGTCCTGGGCCTGCCCCGGGGCCTCCTCCCGGTGGTACATGCCCGGAACACCTCACCCAGGAGGCATCCTTGTCAGATGTCTTAGGTCATTTAAGTTAAAAAAAAAACACAAACAAAAACAAAAAAGAGACAGCGGCTGACACCGTTGTGAACAACAATAGACTGGTGGGTAATAATGAGTGAATGAATAATGCAGAATACAGAGGTTTGAGATGGGAAACTGTTCACGTACACAGTAAGCTGTTCTTAAAGTTTGATTTTTATCATGGTGGAAGCAAAACAGCAAAAGTCAGAGGGAATTAATGATGACATTTATCAAATGTGAAGCATAGTTTGGATCTTGTTTTGCTGCTGGTTCAGTGAATTTTGGTTGGAGAGAGACAAAACCTGTAGATCAGAATTGAGCGGAAAAAAGACATAAGTAAACCCAACTGCTTAACACTTTAGTTCAACATTAACTATAGTTGTTCCTGTTACGACCCCCTCTGCTAGGCGACAGGAGGGGAGAAACATACACAAGCCCTCTCACGAAATCTGAGTAAATAAGGGGTTTTATTACAAACATTAAACTGAAAACTGACGGGGCTGATCAACAGGCCACCGGGGAAACAATTAATACACAATGAAAAGAACAGGCAAGAGTAAAAGATAAGGGTTAACTAAGGCAAGCCAGCACCACAAAACTCTAATGAAACTAAGTTCAACTATATACCAGGTTTAAACAAATAGCAACACAGCAAACAGGTTTAACAAACAAGCTTCACATGCAAAGCAGACGAGGAAGACACTGCATGTTCACTTCAGAGCAGCAGTACCCCATAGTGTGAAGGATCTTCAGCCTTTTATACTCCCAGGTGCAGAAAATCAGCCAGTCAATTGGTCATGGAGTGGTCATGGGATCTCCAGGCAGCCAATCGTCCGCGAGGTCTGGCACACTGTGATCTGCATAAAAGAAGGCTGGCACAGGACTCCCAGCAGCCAGTCATCCACGAGTCCTGGCACACTTAGATTTGCATAAGCACAAAAGGGTAACAGTAACAGTTCCTCAGACTATAGACATTGACAGACCACGTGACTTTCACGCATTGCATGCCGGGAACTTGTGGCAAAACAATCCAAGTACCGCATCAAATGCAAGCATTTGCAGCACCGCAAAACATTCATTCTCCGGTTCCAATAAATTCTTGGTTTTTCTTTGCCCCCAAAGAAGGTATGTACAAAACGAAGGAAACAATGCCGGTCCATACAAAGACAGACTTGATGAAAAGTCAAAGAAAAGATACGAGGAAAAAAATCAAACGAGTGAAAGTGTTAGACCCTTACGAGCACACAGAGTGGACAAAATACGTTAGCGTGCTGCCCACTTTCACCACGCTCATATTTATAATCATACGGTTCTTGGAGTGAGTGCATACACTCATGAAGTTTAGTAACTTCAGGTCACTGCAACAAGCCCAGGTACAGTTTACCGACGGATGGGTGCAGGACCTTGAAATGCACCGTGTAGAAAGTAAAGACCATCGTACGTATCATAAGTTTACCAGTCTCACAAATCGTCTTCATAAATACACATTCGTTAACCGTTTATTAATAGGACCTTTGAGCTCAATGGTAATTAATTAGCAGTGGAAATAATTTCTGGTTCGCATTACAGAAATGTAGCAGTGACAATAATATTGTATGCTGTAATCGTACTGGGCAATTAGTGATACAAAAAACCTGTTTTATCCTGTGAATAAAAGTATATGTTTTTGTCAATGTACCATAATAACAGAAGCGAAACGCAATATTGTATCAGGACAATTCACTATTTATGCACAATAAATAAAGGAGCATAGCGCCACAATTTCTGTTCAGCGTCAGACTTGCTTGTAACCTATAACACCAATTATGTTATGAAAAATGATGTATTAACAACTACAAAACACTGACCTTTGTGGAAATGCTTGGAGCAGCCTAACCTGTGAGCTGGAGTGTTCTGGGACGTTATATTTGGTCTTTGAATGGCTGCAATCCAGGCCATCCGTCGTGTCTTTGTTACTTCAGAAACATGGCTCGAACAATTTCTCTTCCATGATGTAATCCGATAACAACTGATCTCTTTCCCCGTCGGCTTCCCGTGGCTGTCATGCGACCGGCTATTGCAGTTAATGTTGAAAATCTCCCAATTCTTTTAATCTTTGGGCTGAAGAAAGGACAATACTCGGTGTATATATGCTCAATCAACAATCATTTATTTCCATACAATTCAACACAAAGAGCATTAAAACATCCGGACGGGAGAGATGCTGCCAGAGGGTCAGGCACATGTCTCAAAATGGTGGCAACTTTTATAGCTTCTGACAGCCCCCACCTAGTCATAAAAGCTACATGTTCACATGTTTTTCTACTTCTTAGCGAGACTGGCTCCTGACCTTGGCTCCCTGTCTTCCTACAAAGGTGGGGGTATGGAATGTGGTTTATCTCTTCTGCCCTAGACGCAGAGTCTCCTTTCTCTTCATGATTCAGCAATAAAACATGTCAAGAACACAGTGTGAGACATTCACAGCAGATCAAGGATACAGAGTGATGCACATTTATCTAATAAACTAATATGTAAATATGTTCTGTTAACTCAAAAGTATAATGAGAACTAGACTACATACACAGCACACCATCTCAACTAAAGGATAATATATGTCCTACAGCTGTTAACATAATTCAACTACATTGACTATGGTCATAAAATAACATATGTTTTACTCATAATCTTCACATTAATAATACAACAGCTTCTTGCCACTTTTTGTGTTTATTTTTATCGCTGTGTAACTGAGTCCAATTGAAAGCCTGCGTGCGCTAGTAACTCTTGCCACGAGTTCCCAGTATTGTTTGCAGTTTTACCCCTGAATGACGTCACATTTTCGATCTCTATTGCCACATGCGGTGAAGAACTACATAAACTGTGTCTCTCCTTATCCGCCTGTGTGATTCGGAACTAAGATGGAGCAGCTCGGTAACCGTCTCTGCCGGTATAAGAACTATAACTTTCTCTCCAGTTACACAACTGCAGAGTACATAGGCTCTCTTCAGAGTTTTGAAATAAGAGACAGCGATGTGTTCCTCGTGTCTTATCCAAAATCAGGTCAGTGAGAAATCTCTGTAGCATCCCATTATTTTGCAGTTTTATTCTGTCCAGAGTGATCCACTGGTCAGATATGATGTCCAATACATTTTTCCTCAAAAGGCACCATATGGGCTCAGCAGATCATCACTTCAATCTATGAGTTGGATGGGCATGTGAATGAATATCTTACCAACTTACAGAAGATGCCATGGCTGGAGTACACAGGGGGTGAATACACTCGTCGCCCCTCTCCACGGCTCTTCACATCACATCTCCCCCAGGTTCTCATGCCTCCAGGACTGATGGACAAGAAGGGAAAGGTCAGAGCTCTATAGACGCTCAAGCAGCCTGAAGAAAGAGCTGGTTTTGAGATGTAGTATGACAAAGTTCTTTAAGTGGTTAAAAATATAATTTGCTCAGTATTTATGAGTAATTGTATGAAATGATAGATACATTTGTTAAAGAAAAGCAAAATTTTATTGAAGTTTTACTGTTAAGGAATGGCATTAAAGGATTAGAGGCAGTATTTGTTCATATGAAATTCAGATGTTTTTTCTTAGTCAGTTACATAGCACTAATAGCACAAATAGCACACAGCTTTTTGAAA